CCTACACCTTTTATTTTCTTCTATTTTCTATATATATATATTCTTTTTTATTTCTTTTTGTTATATGTTTCCGTATGTTTTCTTTGAGGTAAATTTTCTTTTCATACATATTTTATTGTATTCTATATACATACATACACGCAAGTGTTTAGAGTTTGCAGACATATATTGCATAAATGCATGTATGTCTGTCTGTGAGCTTATGGTGAAATAATAATAATAATAACAGTAAAAAGTAAAATGAAGAAGAAGATGGAGGAGTATGGGTGAAGGTCGTTCGTTGTCCTTTATTTTTCTTCCTTTTCTTATTAAGTTCTATTACGGAAAAAGTTGCGAAAAATAATTCTCAGAAAATTTTCTTCTTCTATATTATCCGCCATTTTCATTTTACGGGTACACCTGAGTAGTGGGAATAAAATGATTTATATGAAAAATGTATAAATTCTTAAAGGGTAACGGTAATCCACTCTATTTTCTGAATCCAAAATTATGAATCATTTTATTGATGCTATTAACGAACAAGTTCTTTATACATGTTCTCGTATATGTTGTTAAGAATACCTGGAAAAATTGTTTTTTAAAATTAAACGACGACATAGTCGTGTTCTTCTTCTTATCAGCACGAGTAGACATGAATTTCGACTATCAAGTCTCAGTGATCACAGGTTCATACCTGAGCGCGGTAAAGTTTACTTTACGCTTAGCTATGATGAATGCTTAGTAGACAAATGTGTAACATTTACTGATTTAGACAGGCACCCAGTAGACTGTGACTGCTCCTATCTTGACTGTTGGGGGCATCCCCTGAGTGATTGGTCACATAAAAAAAAAAGGTTGGATTTTTTTAAGTGGTCAACAATTGCCCTTAAAATCGTTTAACGTTAACTAACCACAAAAGTCATACGTGCTTTTTTGAGCGCATGCATACTGAAAGCCAAGAACCGAAATACGGTCCGTTCGAAAAACATAATTCCGAGTAGATGTGACAATTCTTTTTAAAGACTTCGAAAACTGGATTTTTAAAGTCCCGAACAAATGTTCTGAATCTCATTGAATATTGAGAAAAAAAAAAAACATAGCCAATACCATACATCGCTTGTCGAATAGAGAGAAAAGTTTCTGCGGATGTATGTAGCACCGGGAAAGACTTGAGGTACACTCACCTTTTATTATACGGATCGATTCAGAGTCATTTTCTAAATCGATTTAAGCTTATCTCTGCTCGCAATTTTTGCAAAATGCGGTGCGTTCTAGCCCAAAAATGAATGCTACTGAAAATGATCAGGATGAGATCACTTTTTCGATTAGCTTTTTTAGTTTTTCTAAAATTTTATTTTTTGAATTATCGTTCAATGAAAATAATTGTAAGATGGTGTAGGATATTTACTGGTGGGCCGTAGCCCACTATAGAGTCTTTTCTTTGTTATATATTTATTAACAAAAAGGTACGTATCTGCTAGAAATTTGATCAATTACCAAGGCCAAAAAAAGAAGTGGTGTATAGGAATGATAAGGAGTATCCACAGCCGGAGAGATGCATTCCCGATCATAAAATGCCGATAAATATGTGTTTATATAAGCGTATGTATATAAGAATATGTGTGGAAAGTGATCACTTAAGTTATTGCTAACAGGAAAGGCTACTATTTTCAGCTTAAGGTATTACGTAGCTATAAACCTTTCTCATTTAATTGGGGACGTTACGATGGTTGTGATAAAATTTGTCCTAAATGTTGGCAGGTAAGCTACCGCTTTGAAGGCTATTCCTCATTCTATTGTTGGTAGTTACTATCAAAGAAATTTATTTTTATTTATTTACGCTATTAGGAAGTCAATCATGTGCTTTTGGATATTAAAATTAAAAAAAAAATTGCGAAAAGTCGAGTTAATTGATTTGGCAAAGTAAAGCATTCTTAAAAGGAGCGCTCTTCCTTGGCAAACATGTAAAATAAAAAGCCGTAAGAAAGAATAAGTCAATCATTTTTGCTAAAATTTCTTTCTTTCTTTTTTTAATATTAATATGAGAGACATTTGCTTTTAAAAGTCTTCCGCTTCAATTGCTTACCGCAATCATATGAAATCAGCGATTGATTCTTAAAAAACGAAATTTGGGAAGTCTGTCTTGTGTATAATTGTTAATTGGTTCGTGTCTTTGCTAGAAAATATATCTAACTATGCAAGAAATATGTAGAAAGACCTCGAAACTTTCCTTATTGCTACAGTCATCGTCAAAATGTATGCAAAAGCCGAGAGGATGTCAGCCTAAATTAAGTATATATATATATATTCTTTATCAGTATGGAAATTTGATTTCATCTAAGCATGTCAGTCTATCCGTCTGTCAACCTGCATAATTCTTCTAGACGCAGAAATTAAGATAACGGCTTCAATTTTGGCAAAAAATGTTTGGAAAGTGGTTTGATAAAGGTTTGGTATTGAAAGTGGATCAAATCGGTCAAAGGGCACACCTGCAGTACAACATAAATCAGAGAATTCCCTTATTTTCATAAGCAAAAAAAAGTTTGAATTTTTTAGCTTACTACAGCGGGAATAAAACAATAAAAAAATTTAAACCTCTTTTCTACGGTCGAGCTTACACTGCTTAAGATACAAGAGATATGCATCGACCACGTCCATCCGACCTGTTTTCTTGGAATACCTAGATATCAATTTTTTTTTCATTTTACATTATTTTCTTTTGTTTAGCTTTTTTTTGTTAGGTGGATGAAGGTGAGTGGGGTGCTGCGTACAAAAAATTCCTCCCCGCACCCGACTCTAAGAGTTTTACTTGTTTTTTAAGAAAAATTTATAACAAAGATTTTTTTTTTTTTTGAGTAACCGATCAAAGAGAAGAAATTTCAAAAATTTTTCAATTCTTCCTTCTTTCGCGAATGTTATAAGCAAATCTTTAGAAATTCGTTTATTTATTTATTATTATTTCTTCTTTCAGTTTTTTAGTAAGACAAAAAAAAAAAGCCTTTGATATTTTTTTTATTTTTCTTATTTTAGGCAGCATTGTGTGCAGCATATGAATGATGAGTTGCACGAATATCCTCTAAAAATCGCATAGTTCTCGTTCTTCTCCCTCTTCTCCCTTTCCCCTGCTCATAGTCACAATTCCAAACGCATTGAAATTACAAAGACTTCATTAAAATCAAACATCAAATGAACAAACGAACTAATTAATATTCGTTAAAGTTCAATAGTTTGCAAAAAAGAAAACTAAAAGTTAAAATAGCAAAGTTATTTTTTTTTTTTTTTTTTTTTGGCAAAAAGAAGGAAAACAAAAGAGAAAAAACAAATATAAATTTTCGTATTATTTCAACAAAATAAAGCCATAAATAAACCTAAACCAGATTATGTAGCTCTTCTTCGAAGCGAAAGAAATCTGTTAACTTATAGTAAATAAGCTCTCTTCAAGTCCGGTGAAGTTTATTGAACTTTTAATTTTTGTGTTTGTATTTTTGGTTACTTTTTTTTTTTAAAAAGAGAGTTTACTACAAAGCGCGTTGTGTGTAGTGTGTACTTGTAATACAAAAAAAAAAATTTTTTTTTTTTTTTTTCTTTACCAATACCACCCAGAGAAATAATAACAACAAGAGTAATAGCAACAAAAACTTAAACAATGGCAGCTACATTAAGAAATCAATGCAAACACAAACTGCTTACCATAGCATACTAATGAAGAGCACCTACATACATACATACATACAAAAAATGCCACGAATTCATACAAAAACGACTCTCAAATTTTTTTTGTTTTTTTTTTTTTCGTGCAGATATGCAAATATGCTGCGAGTATACTTATGAGAAGGTATTTTTGTATACGTGGCAAAATTTTCGGGGGTGGATTTATAAGAAACATATGTATCTTCGAAAAAAAAAGAAAAAAAAAAACAACAACAACAACAAATTTATTGACGCCTTCCGTAATGAAAAGGAATCTGAACTTTTAAATGTTAAGTAACTTCTACTCATTACGAGTTTAAGCTCGGTCAGCACTACAGGGTTATAAAGGTGGAAATGTAAATTAATTTCCGTTTATAAGTCGTTTTATAAAAGTGCAAGAACTTTTAACTTGGCTCATTAGTAATAAAATATTGTGATATCATTATTAATTTTATTTCTTTTATTTCTCATATGTTTCTGCTTGAATTGATTAAGTTCAGGGAGTTTAGAGCTTAAATTATGTGGTTTTTTTCTTTTTTTTCCCCTACGACCAACTACTGACACCATATTTACGGGCACGGTGGTGATGAGGAAGAGTTATAGGAATATTGGGGTAAAGAAAGGGAATAGGGTTTGTGAACCTTGGACTTGACAATGAAGAGCTCAGCTACGGCAGGAAAGACTAAGGCTGATAGGTTTTTCTAAAGCGGGGTCAGTTCGGTTAAAAAACTACGAGTTGCGGTAGCGTGTTTTGCGGACACTGATTTATTATTTGATAGTAAAGCTCTGACGGAAACATTATAAGAATTACATCATTTCTTCCCCCCTTCTCGGTTTAAGTAAAAGTTTAAACAGAAGACTCGCAATAAATTCGCTCGGCCCACTCTTGTTAGCAGGGCTGAAAAGCAAGTAGATGGGCACAGTCGTCTTAATAATAAGAAGTGTTTATATAAAAAATGTCCAGAAAAGAAGAAAAAGAAGGAGTCCTTTAGTCACTTTTATTTTCAGGGCAAGAAAGAAGACATGGTGCGATGATTCGGTTACATAAAGAGGTTGGGCAACTTTTAGGCAAAGTTTATTGTAGAAAGATTAAAACGACAGCGGAGGGTTCTGAGCTAATAGCTTCTGTTAAGAAGTAATATCAGGGCCTTTCTTCTTCAGTCTTTTTCCGCTTGTGGGTATTTTTATGAGAGAATAAAATGTTTATTGAAACACCAGACTATCTTTACTCTGATTTTCATATCAAATATTGTAAAAACTAAAAATTTTTTTTTTCTTCGCTTTTGTTAATAGTGCTTTTTAAGAAAACGTTTTCGTTTGTTTCGTTTCAGGTAAACACTTAACCTCACGGTATTCTCTTTATTTGCTTTAAAAAAGGCGTAATGTAAGTAAGATAATGTTAATGTACATGCAAATGAGGCCATATATTATTCAGTAGTACTGTATTAATTATTGAAGGCTGCTGTCACACATAACTTCTTTTTCCGTCATCAAGATATGGCATAAAATTCTAATTTATTTCATTCTCAAGATCATCGATGAAATCTGTTAATAAAATAGTGCTCCTAGAACCTAATTGGACATTGTCAGAGGATTGCTCCTTATTTTAACAACAAGTTTTGTTTGTTTGGGTGCAGCGAATCTTAGGCAGACTCACTTCATCTTATAAGAAGAACCAATTATCATTAAATGCATCGATTGTCCCCGAGTGCGATTAGCTATTAGATATGAGATCAATCGTTAGTGACATTGTTTTTAATCGCGGTTTTCCGTCCGGGATGTAAGAAATATCCAAACACAAGTGTTTATCTATGTGTTTCTTCAAATGTTGAGCTTTCGCTTTACATAAAATATTAAAGTGTAGCACAGGCTATCAGATGCTTACCCATTAGGTGCCTTGTGGAGTTTCGTGGTAGTTATGGGTAAGGAGGGGATGTTGCATATTTAGGGGTTAGAGACGTCCTGGCTTACCCAAAGTGCAAGAGATAGTCCGTGAGGTCCAGAAGCTCGTTCTTACTAGAATTGCTAACACATACATTAAGCTATGTAGGCAATGGGTAAGCCCTGTTGGACAAAAGTTACCTTCCCCCTACGTGTTCATTGTGCGGTAGCTGCGATGCGGAGATTAAAAATCGATGTCAAAAACAAACACCCTACGTTCTTGAAATCATAAGTGTCACCTTTGAAAATATGCTCCAGTAAAGCGTACTGATACTACTGCGCAAAATTATATTTAATAAGCAGCCTCGATACCTACATGAAAAACTGAAGCTCGCAGCCAACAATAGTGGCATGAAGATTGTGTAGACAAGGCACTATACCATATTGTCTGAATGACCCTTTTTTATACATGCCATGACGCTATGGCGAATTTGCAAACGACTGCAAGTGATGGTGGCTTTAAGCGCTTTCTTATGGGATATTATAATGTTACTAACTGCTAACTGCTAACGATTGGCATTCTATTATTTTTCTTTATCACACTTTAGACAATATTTTCTACATTTCTATATTCATGAACGTTCATCACAATGTAGACAGTAATAAGGATCACTAATCTCCATGACATTTGTTCACCTATAACAGACCCATACTTTAATTTAGAAGCGTTGAGCCTTGTTGTGTAGAAGATAACTTAAATAAATAAAATACAATAAAAAGGAAAAATAAATAATCAGAGATAGCGAGATTCATCGAGCATCTTGAAATTATTGAATTTTCAATGCAGGCGGTCGCTTTGATCTTTCTACGAGATTACCTCATAGAGCTTGAATGATCGATACATGAGTTATTATGGACTGAAAGTTTAATAAATAGTATAAATGCCGATTTCAGACGCAGTTCTGAAAATGTTAAGTATTTTTGTTTGGCAATGCTTTTAAGTGAAACTTAAGCATTGTGTAAAGAAATTGATTAGGCTTAGAAATGACGTAGGGCTGTAATTTGCAAGTAGCGAAAGATGAATATTTTCTTCGTGTTCGAGATATTTCAAACCACTTGTCATTACCACCTTGTGAAATTTCGAGTTTTCTTAACAACAGCGAAACAAGCACTTATGGGCAAATGAAAACAACTGACTAAATCAATTAAGAATATACTTTAAAATGGGCGATGCAAGCACACCTAACTACTATGATTAAGGGCATATTGTACCTGTAGTGTTAGAGAAGGCTATGGCGAAATATTATAGTATATTTTTTAGTGTTATGAAAACTTGGTTAAAAATGATTGCAATTTTCCCTTTTTCTAACTGTTAGGGAGAAAATTTCCTGCCTATTTATAAGATTGCAATATATATAGAAAGCGTTGCCTACTTTTAGGAATAAAAACGATTGCATTTAACTGGACATAAAAATAATGATTTTTCTAATAGCATGTAATAAGCATTTCGCGCGGCAGAAGACTAGCTAGAAATGAAATTTTATTATGTATTCATATCAGGGAATTTAGTTCTCCAATATTTCCAATGAAATAACCCGATTACTTTATAATGCAAATATTTTTTTCCACAAAAGTTTCTGGTCTTTGTACAAATGTGCGTGTTTTTTTAGATTTGAATTTTAAATGAACCTCAAGTAGAAAGAAAAAAAAAAAAAAAACGAAAAAGAGAAAAGTCCTTTTCCTTTGTTGAAGAAAGAGGGAAAACGTAGAAAATATGTAATTAATGAGTTTTCTTGTAATTAATGCTTGATTGACTTTTGCCCAGAGTACGCAAAAGAAGCGCAGCGTTCGCATAACTAAATATCACGATAATCGGAGGCAAGAGGGCTGAATGGAGAGAGATGGGATAAAATATGAAACATTGTATATATTATAAAAAGTGTTTTTTTTTTTTTTCGACATCATTTTAATGCGATAATGTTGCAATCAAGCTTACATTTCCTGATATACTAATATTTTTTTTTTTTTTTTTTTTCATCCTATAACTTGAGATCTATCTAGAAAGAAAGAAAAAAAAAATAACGAAACTTCCGGACACCCATTGCAGACCGACCACCAACTTTACTACAACCTTACCGCCACCAACCAATAGAAACCCAACCAATTTAATGCTGTTTATTATATAACTGAATGTATGTATGCATGTATATATATGTATGCTGAGCTGAGCTCAGCACTATGTATAGATTTCATAGGTTTCTATATAAGTTTTTTTTTTTCGCTGATTTTAGTCATTGTTGGTGAAGTGTAAGGCGAGCATTTAGACAGGAGGGGGGAAGGGGGAGGGGTATCATTTTGTACTTTATGGTGGTATACCTAGAAAAAAATTTTTCTATATATTCTGAATTTTTTTTTTCGCTTTCTATCATTTGACTGCATTTGTTTATGTGTGAGTGTCCGTCTCTTTGTGTATGTGTGTGTGCAGTGTGTAATTAATTTTATACATTTTTTCATTTTTTTTACATTTTTTTTTTTATAATTTTCATTATACACACTTTGTTGTTACCGAGGAATGAGATTTGAAGGAGCAGTAACCGTGTGTATGTATGCGTGTGGAGAAAAAAAATTGTAAAAAAAAAGAAAGAATTACGGAAATTGTTGTAAAAAAATTTCAACTCATTTACATAATTTTTTTCTACATTCAATTCTATTCTCTTTGATAAGGTTTGGTGTTGTGTTCTGTTGTTGTATTTTTTTTTTCTCATTTTTTTTCATGATGTACTTTTATATATATATACAACAATAATATAAATATATATATGCATATATATATATATATATATATGTATACATAGAATAAGAATTTTCAGTATAACGATTGGTTGTCTCTCTAGTTTATTTAACACCCTTTTCACTGTCATTTGTTTGAAGAAAAAAATAAATAAATAAAAAAAATTTTTCAGCTTTTGGTTGAGAATGACAGAAAAATCTAAACGGAAAATATTTCCAAAAAAAAAAAAGAAGAAAATAAGAAAAAAAAAACAAAGTAAGAGACTCTTTCTGACATGAGTAAAGAACTGCATATACTATTGGACAGACAGACAGACAAGAATTTTTAAATGTTACATTGTCTCTCTTATGTCTCTCTATATAAAAATACTCACTAGACTTTGAAACTCCCTTAAGCCACAGAGTTAAGTTTCATAATCTTAGCTTAGTTTGTTGAACGCAAAAATAAGCATAAAAGAGGAACAAAAAAAAAAAAAAAATTTCAAGACATAATTGACGTTTTTAAATAGATCATTAACGTTGACAGGGAGATATATCGGTTCTTAATGGGAACAGTCTTTCGTTTACAAATGAAAGTTAGCAGAAGGTATCCCTTTGAAGAATACTCAAGGACTAATATAATCTCTAAGAATATTATTCTGACTATAAATTTTTTTTTTTTTTTGTTAATTTTACTGTTAATTAATTACCCTTAGAAATGTTTTTTTTAAACAAATGTCGGAATCGGCTATGCCTGTACTGGGAATTTTAAAAGTGCTATTGACCCGCTGTCGGCAAAACTTGCACTTCCTTGTCATCATAATTATGCATAGGAAAGTACAAGTATTGTGCTGCATTATGAGAAATACTTGCTTAATCCAAAATATACTGAACGCAAAAACTCTTTATTAAAATCGATTATCAATTGCGGTGAAATTTCGGACAAATCAAATTTGTTTTCAAAATTCACTCAACACTTGTTTAACGAAGAACTTTTATAGGAAGCGACTCCACAAACAGGCAGGCCCAAGCTTGAAAGATTAATTGAAAATCGTATTTAATTCTGTCCTATTCTCTAGCATATTGAACTTGAGAGAGTTTTCTAGAAAATTTTTTGTACTATTATTGTATTATTTACCTACACCACTTGTGGCATAGGGTATATTGAACGGACGCATGTAACACGCAGAAGGGCTTAAGATAGATCCATCTTTTATTATGCTGAAGAATTCAGAAACATTTTCCAAGTCTGCCCTGTATTTTTGCATTCAAGAATTTTTACAAACATTGAAAAGTCGAAATTTTAATGTATTGTAATGAAAATTAACCAGTAATAATAATTTGATATGAAAATATAACGATTTTCACAGAAACTTTTGTATTGTAGGGCAGAGAAGAGTCCAAGTTTTTCTACGCTACGATGACACTTTATTCATAATAATAAATTGATAAAAAAGTTAACTGTGCTGTATTTTGAACACTCAAATTTTTCAACCCTTTGGTAACAAGTATTCTTGCGGAAAGTGAGTCTTTATTTGGAAAGGGGTGTAAATTTCAATATGCAGTCAATAATGTTTCTATGGCAAAAATAAGAATTGTGTTAGACAATGTATAGGGTGTTTAATAATCGGCCTAGCCCGACTATGATATTTTCACTTGCTTTTATTTATTCGTAAGACCATTTACGACGCCATATAATATAAATTGGCTCACC